AAGGTGATTGCTATATCAAAGACCTTGCCAGTTGGTACTGCAACCGTGGAAAGAAGCTTCAGTGCTATGAATCGGATATTGAGCTGGGCTCGTAATAGTTTAGACAGTTCGTTGGCCAGTGACTTTATGTTGCTATCCATGATTAAAGACCTGTTAAAAAGAATAAACTTGGACAAAGTGCTTGATCGATGGGTAAATCAAAAATCCCGGATCGTACAGTTTAAGTAAAGGCTTGTAGCGCAGCTAGCGCTTAAAACTAATTTAATTTGACTTTTTTTCAGAATTCATAACACTCATTGTGTGACTTGTGAGATTATAAATGTAGAATACTTTTGCTAGTTTTTAGCTTGTTTTTATTAAAACTTACCATTTCGTTTCCTTATATTGTGCTTTCATTTTTCAAAATGAATTATGAAATCTAGCTAAAATATAATTTTAGTAAAATTTTGGGGGGGCGATCGCCCTCCCTCGCCCCCCCCTAGTTTCCGCCACTGGATATGGCCACCTCTACTCAGATAGTTCCATGGCATTCAAAACATCACAGTAGTCGTGATCATCTGCAGCTGGCTGTCTCAACTCCAATTCATGCTGATCCTGGACACTATTCAATATTTCGGTATCATCTTGAGGGGTGGAGTTTCCACGTCCTCCTTCGATGTTGTGCCTCATTAGTAGCTGCTTGTATGCTGCTACGAATTGGCCAGTTGTTGGATTATTATTCCACCCACCACAAGCTCGCACAGCTGAAAAGAATAATTCCAAGTGATCTTGGCTCATCTTGTAAGTCAGAAGATACTTCAAGGCAGGATTTTCAGCATTAACAAGATCTTCTGTTAATCCCACAACAGCATTGATGCACAAAAGGAAACCAAGAAATCCTGTTTTCCTTTTTGATGTAAGGATCAACTGGCCATCTGGACCAAAAGATGATCAAAAACACGAACGCATTGAACGGTTGCACCACACCCTTGAAATTGTGGCAATTTCAGCTCACCTTCACAATACTCCAAGGCATCTACAACACTCGAGTGCCTGTGCTGCTAGATTTGCCTTCATTTCTGTGGCTTTCATTTGATATGAGTGGATCGGAGCTTATTGGCAAGATGTAATTCCTCCACAAATTGCCACTTGATGGCGTTGCCATCCTTATCCTTTAGGATTTTCCAGTCCAATATGGTGTTTCTTACCAACTTTATCATGCGACAAGCATCTAGGAAAATGTAGATATTGGCTTTCGGGTCACATGGATGTTGGAAGTATGCTTGCAAGTTACTAGGTGACAGTTCAGCGCCAAGCAATTTCAACATCGCCTGGTGAGACGTGGGCCCATCACAGGTAAAAGACACCACCTTCACCCCTACTTTGTGCAACTTGGTTATGCATTTTTTGGTCAAGTTGGCTTTCTCCTCTACAGTAAGACCGTTCACTAGAAAGTATCTGCATGGTGTTCACCGAGACTGCCATAAAAACAAGACATCTGTTGCTTCGGGCAGCGAGTCGTCATTGATGCCTGTGCAAAGGTCAACATAACCGCAGAACTGCTTACCATCCCATTTGACATGCTTGCATATGGCCATCTTCTCGAGCATTAGTGCACAAACAACTTCTTGATTATCTCTTTTTGCAGCTAGAACTTTGGCTTTCAATGCTGTCAGTGCGTCCTTGGTAAAACCTGCCTCCGCCATTCATAGAACTATACCATGACCGAATCATGTTTACATGTGGGCAACCTTAAATCAAAACTTTTTTGCACATAGTTATATGCTTTAGTTGAATAAAATTTCAAGGTCAGAGCAAATGACCTTAGCTCAGGTGGATACGCCCCAAGATTTTTCTTTTGTCACCAACCTCTTCATAAGTTCCTTTGGAACTCTAGAAAAAGTTGATTCTAGAATAGTCACACAATCACTATTGATCAGATTTTTTTCTCTCAATTCACTTACCACTGTAGTCAACGTGCTAACCTTCTTCTCTCTTCTATTGGTTTTCTTCTGAGATGTCTTTAACCTCTTCTGTAAATTTTCAACTTTATCTATTAGATCATCAACTTGACTTCTCACTCTACGAGGAGACTTTACATAATGTGCATTCTTTTCAGAAGAACTGGTTGTTTGTGCCCTTTTTTTAGACATGCTTACCTCAATCTCTGTTTCATCCAAATATTTTCTCTTGCCTCCGGGTATATTTACGTTGTCTTCGATAGTTACGTCCTGAAAACTCTCACTATCTGTAGCAATGATCTCTTCATTAACACTTACACTATCTTCATTTATTACTACTGTTTCTACTGAACTACTTTTTTTGTCTGACGTACCATGAAAATTTTCATGACTTGATCCTTCCTTATTACAAGCCTCTCCATACTTCATTACCTACGGGAGTTACAGAATAGTGAACATGTATTTACTTGATGCTTGTGATGTTACTCTGAGTGTATATCCACACCAGGCAAGCTTGAAAAATATGCCTGTCCACAAGTATGTTATACCAACACAGAAAGCAACCATGTATTTACTTTATGCATGAACAATAGACAACTCTTAGGCTTAGCTGCGATGCAAGATAATTCGAATATATTATTTTATGCTGTTTAACGCCAAACATTACCAATGTATGTGTGGTTATGCCATTGTTAGTCAACTGTCTACTAATCTAACACATTTAATTTGCAATGCACCCAGACATGCCTGACTTCATTATTTTACTCTAACACCATACAATTTTCTTGTCAAGGAAACTAGCTCTTCTTGGACAATAAAGGGTCCCTCTGTTCCTTTTGCAAATTCTGCCACTATTAAGTATGTATTTTGTTCATTTCAACTCATATTATTTATCATTACATTATATTTCTTGTCAATTGTTGAAACAAACAACTGATGTTATTAACTATGGATGTGCAGAAAATAGTCAAATAGATTTGTTGCATAATACACACTCTGATGTTTATAATGCAAAATCTGTTGCTGTAAATGGCATTTCGTCAACCCCCCCCCCCCCCATTTATAGCCTACCAATGCTTTGATGCTTATAAAATTATTGTAACTCAGCCGTTTAACACCATTCACTGTTTGACACCATCCAGTCACCATTTCATGGTTCAAGAATTATTGTGGCAGCTTTGATACAACTTAAGTTATTCAGCTATCATTCATTGTTGGTCCGATGTCTGCTACTGGATATGTCAACTCAACTATCAATGTAAGAAGTGGACTATCACATATTCCCATGTATGGTAAATTGCTAAAAAATGTGTAATATTTGTCATTAATGGTATTTTAATGGTATAAAGCAAAAAAATAGTGGAGAAAAAATGAGATACAGTAATTTGAGTAATAACATGATGATAAGCTAACTGTGAACATCAATTATAGTTCAAATACAGTAGTAGAGCAATGTTGATGAGCGGGCGGCGCATGTTACCGAAACAACTCTGCACCAGAGCTGGCACAGCATGCTGGATCTATCCCTGGTGGTTTTTGCTAATTCAACGTATTGGAAATCTACAATTATATAGCCAATGGTAAGAGTTCATGTTTTACATTCAAAAATCCATTAATAGAAATTTGATTTTCCCCTGCATATGTGTATTCCATCCACATATAACACCCACACACACCCCTGTCAATGAAATAGTTGAGTAATTCAGAGATACACTCACTCACGGGTCTGTAGATAACAAATTGTCTGAGATTCCTCTTGGGGCACATGCAAAGTTGGATTGGAGTTGCCCTAGAATTTGTGCTTAGAATTCCTCAGAGTATTTATAAAATTATATATATATATGAGAAACATGTGAGAAACAGGTGTGTGCAGATATTAAATGAAAATTATAGCCCAATTTAAGCTAGTACCAACAAAAAATGTTGTGGCCACAAACAAGTTAAACTTTTAAATATTAAATGAGCAAAATGATAGAGGAAACTGACACAGGCACAAACCTGAGAAGTGGGAAATATTGTTGGGACAGCAAATGACTTCAGTATCACTCTTTGTTTACCACCCTCTTCCTTCATGTCAGAGCTATCAAATGTTCTGAGCACAGACGGCTCCTCCTGTTGGAACAAATTTAACCTGTACACCATCGTTGACATTCTCAAGCCATTTGGCGTACATCTCCGGATATTTCTTTGGATCTGGGAAGCTGTAAATATAAAATGCATTTTGAATTGCTGTGTTGGTGTTGTGTACTCAGGTGAATATGATGTTTGTGATGTTAATGGGCTAGTATTCCAAAGGTTGTAGGTTTGATTCCCACCGTGGCCAGGCATATTTTTCTAGCTTGCCCGGTGTGGATACACACTCAGGGTAACATCACAAACAAAATTATATGTTATACTAGAAATACATGCATGCAACAACCCCTCGCCTATATTTTCCAAACATTGTTTGAACATGAAGTATTCGTAATTATGCCAACACTGAACGTAGGCTCACGTTGCCACGTCATGTTAGTCATGGCAACACAAAATTGTTTTTTAATTTTTTGTACAAACCGGGAAAAAATGGATGAAATTTGAACACTATTAAATACAGAACTATCAATTTCTAAAATATATAAAGTAGGTATAATATTTTGGTTTTTATGGCCTTTATTTTAATGTAAAATTCAAAACGAAACTCTACGTAAAACGTTTTTAAATGTGAATTGAAATTAACTGTGGCAAGATAAACTTCTCAACTCGAGCTTCAACTTATTACTCGCACTTTGAAATGAAAAAATTTAATTTGTACAGGATGCTAATGAAAATAATTTGCTTTCCTTTTTGTCATGAACTTCTACAAAAGTTAATTTAACTAAGAAACTTTCACAAACAATGCATAGGAAAGACTTGAACATCACGAACAAAGTCTATATTAATTTATTTATTTATTTATTTTTTTTGAGCATTGGGGTAGTATTCCAAAGGTCGTAGGTTCAAATCCCACCGTGGCCGGGCATATTTTTCAAGCTCGCCCGGTGTGGATATGCACTCAGAGTAACATCGCAAACATATTAAAGTCTATATTATTAAATACATACATAAACAATTGAAACAAACTTGCCCTATACTTTAGGATTTATCATACAATATCAATTCTTATCAATGTTTAAGTTTAAAAATTGCAAAAAAGTTGTACAATTTGTTATGTGAAATGATTTTCCAAGCTTTCTTACATGTATTTTTTTTATATTTTTTGCCTTCACTCCTGGCAAACAGCCATATTTTGAGATCAGTGATGACCACCCACTCAACACCGTTGGTGAGCACCCGCGATAATTGATGAACTTTAGACTTTGCTAATGCTTTCGTTTCCCCGGATGTAAATAGCCGGGGGGAATTAGTACCTTCGTGCCGTCGGCTCGGGGATAATATTAAAATGGACTAATTTGTACAGCATTAATATTTTATTCTTTTGACCTTTTTGCCTAAACAACTCATTCGCAGAAGCCAATGGAACCTAATCTACTATCTAAAAACGTTAAAAAATATTAAAACGGAAATTAATAAAATAATTAAATCACAGTTTAATGAAGTTGAATATGTTGGAAAGAGATAGATAATTAAAAACGAACAACTTTTTGCATGTATCTTCAGCCAGCTTTGAGTACCCTGGGTAATGTGCCCTATATCAATAGTTGTTCACCAGTCCAACTAGGTCTCAACTCGCTGAACGACATGCACATAGTCAAGTATGCCCTCTGCAGTCTAGAGATTTGGCTGTTTCTCGAGATAAAACTTAGGTTAGCGAGAGCCTCTAGACAGTTCGGTTTTCTTTCACGTGCATACATACAATGCCCCCCTTTTTGCGCTAGGACTTTTGATCGCAGTTTCGACGTGCATTGTTCATTCGCAAGACTTTAGCCAGTGCGTTCACAGCTTGGGAAAAAATTTTAGCTTATAATTCAAGGGATAAACTGAAACCTTGGCAAAGAACTGAAAATTTGGAGAGAAAAAACCCACCCACCTCCCAATAACCAAATTTTGATTGGTTAATCTCAATTGACTGGTTAATCTCAAGTTAGCATCAGTTGTTCACATGCTTAGTAGCCAAAGTTCGATTTTTATCTGATATTTTGTAATATTAACAGGACTAGAAAACGGTTCCCTTGTTCTGCCAAGGTAGTTGGACCTTGTACGGATTGGTTTTTGTGACGCAGATGTGTTGGCAGACTGAAAACACCCTCGGGCAAATGGAGTCTTCTAGAACATATTACTCCATTAACCGCAATTTATAGCTTTGCTTAAATTGATTATTTAAAAGCTATGTGAAATATAATCATCAACCTATGCTGATGACTCCATTTCATGTTGAAAAAATTTTTTATTGACAGAAAAAGTAGCTCCTGTAGCAAAGAAAACTACTAAGTATAACTTAAGATAATGTCACTTTACATAAAGATGGGTCATATTTATATAATAGAAAACAATTTGTTTCAATAGGAGGTGTCGTCTCATCAGGATTACTAGATGTTATCTGTGGGGTGCCACAAGGTTCTGTTCTTGGCCCTCTACTTTTTCTTTTATATATTAATGATATGAAAAATACTACTAGTGATCTTGATATTCACCTTTTTGCTGATGACTCAAATTTCTTCTGCTCCGATAAGAGTTTGTCAAGGCTGGAAACAAGGGTTAACGCTCAACTATCAGAAGTTTATCGTTGGCTTTGTGCTAATAAGTTGTCCTTAAATATTGAAAAATCAAACTATATCATATTTCACTCCATCCAGAGAAAGCTTAACTACGAAATTAAAGTCTTCTTAAATAATCAAATACTCAAACGAGAATTTAGTACCACTTACTTGGGTGTAGAAATTGACTGTCATTTAAACTGGAAATCGCATGTGTCAAATATATCGAAAAAGGTTAAATGCAATATAGGTGTAATATCCAAAATAAGGCATTTTGTTAATATTGATGTACTCATGAACCTTTATTATTCCCTTATTTACCCATTTCTAACGTATGCACTAGTGGTTTGGGGAAATGCTTCATCTATCGATCCTTTGCTTATTTTGCAGAAAAAAATAGTTAGATTAGTGACCTTTTCAAATTTTTATGACCATACAGATCCTTTATTTATAAAATTAAATATATTGAAGATGCATGATCTTGTCTTCTATTGGAATGCAGCATTTATGCATGATTTCTATAATGGAAACTTGCCAGAAATATTTCATACTTTTTTTGCTTCTGTAAAAGAAAAACATAGTCATACCAGATTTGCTTCAAGATTGACTTATTCTATTCCAAAGATAAGAACAAATTATAGGAAATTTAATATACGCTTTTCGGGCGTAAAGGTATGGAATGAAATTGATGATGAAATAAACAAACTTAAACCATCAAAATTCGGAGCAAAAGTTACAAAATTCCTACTGCAAAAATACAAGGAATAATTGTCAAAACTAACAAAACAAAATTAAAAATACAAATTAATAATTACATGCAATTATACTTGAACAAGATTTTCTCTTCCTTTTGTTTTTTCTCTTTTTTTGAATAGTTATAAGCAAATACTAGTAATAGTGAATTACTTATTTATATATGAACAATTTTTGACCTTCAAGTTATACTTCTGTGCTTTAATTAAAATTAATTGGAAATGGAAATATATTATTTATATTAAGCTAGCTGCCTCGTTTAACCTAATGGTTACTGCTGCTAGCTTGCACCCAAATCAGGATCCAAATATTTAATGTAAATATCTTAATTGAAATAATGGTGCTCAATAAAATTGATTGAGTGATAAATAAACTGCATTTTTTCATACAACTATAATAAATAATCTGCTAAATAAACTCATAAATAAACTACTGTCAGTTTATACGAAGTATATGTATCCTATATAATATACAGTTTCATTTTATTAATAAAAAAACTGTTTATTTAACAATTGAAGCAGAGAAAAAAAGTTTCACACATTCTTACCGAAATACTTTTTTTGGAAAACGTTTTTTGTAAAAACCAGGGTGGTGGAGATCGTCGAAAGCTTAGGATTGTGGTTGGGACAGTGGTAGTTGCCATGAATCTAGGGACCAGTAGCCATGGCATCAGATCTTCCATGTTTTTGGCAACACTTTTTTACTGAGTAGGTCCTCCAGTAATATAGTATAGCTCAATGGTAAAAACTAGTTGCAAATGCACAATTTTCACGCATTAATCAGTTATGCATGCGCAATCTATCATTTAACACACCACAACAAAAACAGTAACTATATTTGTATGAAATCGCAGACTGCACAAGGATAACTTAAATGATGCCACAACTCAGGGATCAGGTGATAGGATATTGACGGACCTGAACTAACTGTTGCATAATCTCCTTGCACAATTGTATGCATAGTTGTCAGGGAGACAAAGGGGTTTTACTCTCTCCTCCGCAGAGGCTTTAGTTTTCTTAGGATTTAATATTATGATGAGATACATTTCACTACACTTTACATGGCGGATCTTGGAACACGAGCGTAGCCGCTGGCCGAAGGAGCGCAGGCGGCAAAGGGAAGGCGAAGGAAAGCGCGAAGCCTCTGCACGATTTGCATCGCAAAGTGGGACAAAGTGTAAACATCAAAACAAAAGGTGATTTTTAAGCTAAACAAGAAACGTCTTTTTGAAAATTAAATCATTATTTAATGCATGATTGATTGACCTCATTGACTAGTGCTTGCATGTTTGTGGATGGTCAAAAGTAATATTTTTTAACATTTAATA